AAGAAAGTGGTTGCCACTGAAAATCCAGACTTGGTGTTCATCCATCAGCCTGTTAAGCAGACTGTCTCCTGGCCACTTGGCTACCTGGAATATAAGTGTGTGCAAGTGATGGGTGATCTATCATTTGATGGCACCCGTGCGGTAGCTTCACTTGGCTTCCAGTCCATTTGCTAATGCTGAGACCTTCTGTTGTGCTAAGGCTGTCCTGGCTTGTATCTGCTTGACACTTGCATTAAAACACATCATGTCGGCAAGTTACTTGTAGTAAACAAGTGTGTGTTATATTACAAACAACCTACAGACCATTTTTCCCACCAAGAAAAAGAGAAAGATATAATAAGCATGGTAATGGAAAATACAACATAGATACTCATTGCATTCTATAAGATAGGGCTGCTGTTCAGATGTGCTGCGGTGTCAGAAATCCTAAACAAACTTCTATTTTTGAAAACTTCTCTAGTTCCAAACACTCAGAAAAGAGAGATTTGTGGCTCTTCCTGTTCTAAAGTCTTTGAATTGCAGAGCTGAATGCTACTGTCTAGGTAAACTCCAGAAGAAAAGATTTGGGTCCTGTAAAAAGCATATTGAGAACTGAATTTTCTTCCCCTGCATGTTTTTTATATTTGCTACTTAAAATTATTAAACATATTAAGTGGTTTTGAAATTACTGTATCTCCTACTTATATTCAAATTGTCTACATTCATTGTAGAGAAATTTTGAAAATATTTAGAATATTACCTTGTTTTAAGGTGAGCAAACTATATTGCCCTTTGTGAGCGGCAAGCAGTAAAATAGAATTTTTTAATTAAACTAAGAAAAATTTGGGAAAGCCTAAATGTCTGTCTTAAAGCTAGATTCTGTTTTTTCAAATGTATAACTGCTTTGAAATCTCTGAGAATTTGTAACTTAGCCTGACTTGTGGTTTCTGTTTTTACAAATTGGTTAAGATGGCAGTCACGTCTTGCTGTGGGAAACACAGGAAAATTCAATACCCAAATGTAAGCAGTGAGTAACACTGTTTCTCTTAGAAAATCTGAGGTCAGCAAAATGCCAGTGAGGAGTATCCTTGAATTTTAGGGGTAGAATTGAAGCAGATGATCAAGAACCTGTGATAGAAGTGGGCAAATTAATGCACAGGGATATTTGTAAAAAAAAGTATCAGGTATTTTCTTTATCTTTCGTTTTTTTGTGTGTGTGTGTGTTTTACCTTTAGTACTTAAGAAAGACACTGGTTTTAACATTAAATAACATTAAATAGAGGTCATGTATCTTTTTTTCCAACTCATTCCCTGAACATCAATCTTGTTAACGTCAGGATTCCTACAATTTTGCCAGAGGTGTCTCTGATTTTCTTTTTTCCCCCATTGTTCACTGGTATCTATTAAAGCTTAACCACATGTGGGTTTTTAAGACTTCCCTGCATTTGTGGGGGAGGAGAGCAGCATCTGCCAATATGAAGCAAAACATCCTCAACTCGCCGTCCGGTACAGCAGTGAAATGAGATCTTTTGTCAGCTGAATTGCACAGCAAACCACAGCTGTGACCGTCCCAGACATATGGTAGACGAGCCAGTGGGAATCGATTGGGAATCAATAGGGGATCAGTGTTGATGCTGTTGCTACACTGCTACTGCTAGCTTGGAGCAACAGGAAAAGGAAGCTTGAGCACACTGCACAGAATAAATTGAATTAGTAATACAAGATGCAAAAAGAGTAACTCATGGTGGAAAAATAAATAAGGTTTTATGAGATGAAAATTAAAATATTGTGTGATACTCTTAAAATGCATTTTTCCCTTAAAACTGAAAAAGACGTGGCTGTCTGCAGTTTGCCTTGGCCAACAAAAATGACTAGTGTCTTGTTTTTGTGTTGTGACAATATAGGTTGCTGTAAAGCAAGGTATTTTGCATAATTAGTAGGAAGATGTGTGAACAGATGAGCAGCAATTCTTAAAAGTTAATGATTGTGAATTCTCTTCCTTTTGTACTTCGTTGGCTCTCATCCAAGATGAACAGACAATCAACCACCTCGATGGATAGTTTCTTAATTGGCCTGAGCAGGCTGTTGCCAGCTGGACCCAAAGCCATGGCCATGTCTTCTGACCTTCCCTTGTCAGCAGTCAGATCAGCTTGCTGAGGCCTGAAAACATTATTTTTCTTTAATTCCTGGTTCTAGTTCGTCTGGGATCACTAAGCTGATCTGACTTGACACATGGCTTCAAGGTTGTTACTGCAGCCGCAACAAAGGCAGGGAATAGGGTGAGCTGCTCCCTTGCAATAATGCAGTTCCCACTTTGACTTAAGGCAGAAATGGTATCATCCGTCCAAAACTGTAGGCTGGAAAAACTCCCAATTAAGCAATTTCAGCTCTTTGTACGTCTAGAGTTGCTTGGTTGTGGATGTCTCTGTGTATGTTTGGAGTTGACCTAATTTAAGCTGCTTGCAACTCAGGTCTTGCCTAAATCTCACTGGAGTTCAGGAATTTTGAATTTCCTTAAGCAGGTTGTATTTACTTGTTCTCTTGAAAACCTCTCACGTCAGGATCAGGCTGCTGGAAAATGGCGTTGTGGTTATGCATTTTGCTGTGGGATAGGAAAAGATGCACATAAAGAGGTTACTCTTCCGTTCGGTACCTAAATTCCCCCAGAGCCAGAGGGCATTTAGAGCTACATCCTTCAGGGAAGCATCCAACTGAGCATGGGTCATTCCTCATTGCTCCTCTTTGAAATTATGTTACTGTGGTAAAGCAAGAATGAATAAAATCCAATATCCCTGCTAGGGCTCCCACTCTGGAGGCGGGAGAAGTCATGGATTTTTTGTTCCCAGGACTGTTTCTTTGTTTTTATCAAATGACTATTTGGTGTGAAATGGAAGAAAATGTCTGTTTTTCCTGACTTTATGCACAGTTTAGCTTGTATTGTTTAACAGTCTGTAGTTAGAGTTCTAATTATTCTCTTTAGTGATTCTGAATAACATCTTTATTCACACACAGAAGTCTTCTGTTTTTAATGTCAGCCTTTGAATATAATGATTTATATATGCCTGAAATGATGTAGAAAACATTTCTGTGAAGAAGCTTTTTCAAAGGCCTCCTGTTCTGTAGATGCCACTTCCTAAATGAGGCAAGAAAAAATATTCTTCTGAAGACTGTTCAGTATTATAATTGGAATAAACATGTTTATGGCCATACATCTCTCTGTGAAATAATATATAATTTGATCTGCACTTTTTCCTTTAATATCAGGAGAGTCTCAGGAGTAAAGTGTGGCAATGACATTAAACTTCTTATAGCCAGAGTTCATTAGCAGCTTGATCTGAGAGCTCTATGTATTTTAAAGGGTTCACTAAAGTTATAATTTCAGTGGAGTAATAACTTACTTTGAATTATAAAGCTTTTTTTTTTAGTTATTTTTAACCAAATGAGAGCTATCCTCTGCTGTGAGTTGCTTGCCACTAGTATTGCTACTTGTTTTGTAAAATTTAATTCTGAATTATTTAAATGTGATCAGTATACAAAAAAAAGATAGTAAAATGAAGATATCTATTCATGCTGTGTTTATAATGCGTATGGGGTTTCATAGTGAAATAGCTTTAACTCAAGACTGATCTTTTCATGGAAAACTAGTTAAATTTGCCTTTTGAATTAGTTGAACACTCATAGCAGAGGGATTTCTGAGTCTTGTTTATTGAAAATTTACCTCTCGTGCCTTTAGTTCGCAAGCACTTCTAGTATTTTTCTGATGGCAGTTTCTTTTCTCACATTGTGGAGCAGTAGTTGGAAGATGCATCCTCCGATATGACAAATGTTTTAATAAAAGGCAGCCTGAAAGATCCTTGTTGTGCAACTACACAAGTCCTTGGGCATGTTTCTTTCACCCTCCTTTCAGTCTGTCCTTCTGATGGTTCTGGGCAACATGATTTCCCCTAAACAGGCCTCGGCAGGTCTTGATGTGTGCTTTGTCCGTATATAAATTTGTTTTGTTTCTCTAGAATTTTAGAGATGTGAGCATTCTGTGTGCCTTTACCTGGTCAATAATAACTTCACTATAAACCATGTTTATAAATGAATTATAGGGATCATCTCTTAATTAGTCTGGGATAGCGTTTAATAGTGGGAGATCTTCCAGAATAAGGTGCAGCACCTTAAATTAGGGTGGCTGTGAGATTATTTTAGGTTAGGGTTTAAAAGAGCAAGTAATTAGAAATTGCTTGAATGTGCAGCATGAGGTTCAGATCTTGTCTCACCGAATTTGTAGCATCACATATGGACAACATCTGACCTTAGCAGTAGTTAATTAGGTCTTTGAATGCTTTTCTTTTTTGCTGTCAACAGCATTTTATTTAAGCTCTGGTTCTGTATCTTATACTATATTGAAAGTTTTACTATGCAGCTGCTGATACAAATTGGAAAGTTTCAGACAAAAAGAATAATTGAGTTCAAAATTCGGGCAACTAAAATTTCCACATCTTAAAATGTTATCTTTATTCATTTTCCTTAGCATGGATGTTTGAATTGCACTTAGATTAGCTGGGGTTTAAATTCTTCACAGGCTTTCTATGTTTCAGAGAAAATAGAGCATGATAACTGCAGTATCACAGAAAAGGTCTTTTTGCTCTTTATTTGACTTAAATAACTGAAAGTAGCAATATTTGATGTTGTTTCTTGCCTACTTGGGCAGATCATAAATTAAGCTCTGTTTAAGTTTTTCTGTAAGAGGCATTTGTGTTCCACAGCTGAACAGCTCAGTTCTATAAAGAAAACATTCTTTATTATGAGCAGTGAAAATCCTTGAGTTATATCTGTATTTAAAAAGTATGGTTAAAAGTATGAACTATGTTACTCCGTTTGTGTGGCTGTTATAGCTGATGCAGGTGCATGTTGGACAAGTATAAAAATGGAATATATAACATAAAACTGATTATGAGAATTGTGGCAAAACTTGATATTGTTTAATTCCCTTTTTTAATGTCGATGATAACGTGAGCATATTTCAGGCTTACGGCATTCTCTTAACTGTTCATTGTAGAGACATTTTTCATGGTTGTAATAGGAGAAATAATTGAGTAAGGCCACTGAAGACATAACTCATGAAAATACTCTAGGCATTTCTTTGGGTATGGAAAGAAAAATTTCCTGCTTTTACCATTTGCATATAGCATTTTTTACTTGCAAAGCTGTTTTGACCTGCGGTTTTCTTTTCCACTGGAAGCTCAATAGTGCAAGTTTAGCTGGCTAATTTTTCTTGTAGAAAAATTTTTTCTTAAAAGGAAACTCTGCGTGAGTTCAGCTTTTGTTATGTTAAACAGGAATATTGGCTATATATTTTTCCATTATGGAGTAAATAAACTTCTAGTGAATAAAACCAGATCTAAGGAAGAAAGGTAGTGCCTGAAGTCTAAGTGGCTGTAGAAAAATCTGCTGTTCAGTAGGTGTCTATTCCCAGTGTTCACTAAAATTGCTTCCTTTTTTTTTTTTTCTTAAGCAGAATGTTTCCTCAGTTCTACATTTTTGCTTATGTATGTTTGTATTAATGTCAGCGTCCCCTTTGAGTCTTAATGGGACTGATAAGTAGAAGCATATGATACCAGCGGATAATGTGACACTGCTCGTCTTGAACAAGGAGTTTGTTCTGCAGGTTTGAGGGTGGGGACAGAGATTTCGAGCGTGTAGAAACTTCTCCAAATCCTCCTATTCTCCTTCCTGCCCTTCTGCAAATATCAGGTTTTCCACTTGTTTTGTAGGAGCTTTGGGACGTGTCTGTATCGTACAGTTATGAGGGGTGGAAGCTGCTGGGTGGAGCTGGAGGTCCAGGAGCTCTCTCATCTGTTTCATACTCCTCCCAGTGTTTAGAGTGTATTGCAGCTTCCTACTTCAGCATCACCTCCCCATGGTCCAGTTTTGATTTGCACTTCTCTGGTGGAGGAAGAAGTGGCTTGGTGAGAGAAGAGGGAAAATCTGGGCTAAAATTCTTGTTAGCAGTTACAGACTAACAGGGTACTTGGTTAGAAGGGATTCTTATGGGCTCCAGTCATCTTTCAGGTTTATGTACTTTTGTGACCCTTAGACAAAAATAATTTGGGGAAGGTTTGATATGAGTTGTAAATGCATTTCATTTGCATTTTGAAGGTAACCATGTCAAACTGTATTTAATTCATATAAGTGAGGAAAATAAAAACATAGATCCACACCTCAGCCATCAAATTTGAGTGTTTCAAAGCACTGTCCCTAATGACCAACTCTTTCTTTGGCAGCTGCAGTCGCCTTCGACAAATTCAGAGTATCCTGACGCAGAGCAGCAAATCTCAGCCCGACGGAATCCTTTGCATTTTAGGTTGGTTGTCTCTCTGTGTGTGTCTCGCTCTCCTCTCTTGCTCTCTCCCTTTTTTTTTTTTTTTTTTTTTTTTAAATCCCCTTTTGTCCTCCCTGTGCTGATAAAGATGCCATGAAAGATGAATGTCATCTCTTACTCCCCCGCTTCCCTCAGCCTGTTTCTCAGTGAGGACAGCTAGCTGATTGCTACTCTTTTCTCCCCATATAATTCATTGGCCTATTTACTAATTCAGTCAACTTGCTGATACAGTAGTAATGATATCAACATTCTTCCAAGCTTTATGAAAACAGAGTGGTTAGAAAGAAGAGAAAATCTTTGTTAACATCCGTATGGAAGGAAACCTGGGGAGAGCTTCTTGTCTCTATTTGGAATAAACGGTCGTCCAGGCAGCGTTTGTCTTCTCGCTGGCAGTTGAAATAAAAGCTGGAGGCCAAAGGCCCATGTGCTGTGGCTGGTTGCCACATTGCATGTTTGTGGGGCTTGGTTGGGAAGGTAAGAAAGTGGAGAATAAACAGAGTGCCCAGGTTAGGGATCATGATATGCAGGGCTCTTGAGGGTGGTGTTCAGGCACAGGTTTAGTTTATAAGAGATGCATGAACATTTGCAGAAAAACGAACAGCTAATTACTAGCAGTAAGCTTAGATTTACTAAAACCTAAATTCAGGGGAAGGGAAGCTTAAGACCCTTGGGGAAAAATAATTCAAAATGCATTTTAAAAGCGTTTTGATGCTTTTGAATGGGAAGCCTGGGCAGCAGTTAAAACTGAAATGGTGCAACATGGAAGAGCATGCAATTTCAGTATTTAATTATTTATTCTCAGGGTAGGGGAAGAGAGCAATGCAAAACAAAGCAGTGCATGCAGACATAGTGTACAAAAGTGACACGCTTTCCATACAGTTTCAGTATCGTTGTGTGTAACATGGACTTTTGTGTCTGAATATATAGTAGTTATTAAGACAGGTAAAATTTCAGGATTGACAATTTGAATACCTAGAGAGTAGGATTAGAGGGTGATTATGTAGATTATGAATAACCTTTAAAGATGGAAAATTTAGTGTATCCCTAATAAAGCTAAGAGCCCTAATGGGTTTTGCATTAAGAAATGATACATGGATAACTTGCTGCCTGTTATTTTTTGAATGGTGTTGCAAGAAAACTTGAAGTACTTGCTGGATTGTGAAAAACTGGTAAAAACACAGAACCTTATTCTTGATATATGTTCACTATATAACAAGACTCTTTCTATTCCACATGCTCTTCTGTAATAGTTTAAGAAATCTTTTCACTGAAATAATTTTACCAGTTAAAAGTTGTATGTGATGACTATGTGGCCACCTTGCAAGAACACTTACTTTTACAAGATAAAGTACTTGTATTTTGCCTTTGATTCCAGTCTAATTTTGTAAAATATAGCAAGCTGTGTCAACTCTCGATTCTCACCATGTGTACGTATGTCTTTGACTTTTTTAATTCCGAGGCTTTGGTAAGTCCCAAGCATAAAAGGAGTCATTCAGAATACTCCTAAAGAGATGTTGTTTCTATGGCATTAGAGAAAACATTGCATGCAAAAGGAATCCTGTTCTCTAAGCCTCAATGAAATGTGGAGTATTTAAAGCCTTGCAGAAGACCATACCTCTTAATAAATAAGCATTTCTGTTATGGAAATGTATGAAGTGTGTTTTTTTCATTAGACTTGTCCTTTGTACTAATCTCTTTCTGTACCCACAATAGGGCTGTTGTTCAATCTGCCCTATCTAGTATAGGCTGTAGCGTTTCCCACATAATTTTTGGTCTAGCACCAACGTCTCTCTGTGATAAAGACGTTAAGTCTTCAAATACAAGCTTCATATGGCAAAGTTCAAAAGGACTAAAGACATGAGAATATTTAATTTCTATGGAAACCAGATAGGGGATATACACATACCTAGATTTTCTTTTCAGACAACATATGTTCCATTTCACTGTGCTAACTTTAACAACTCCCCTCTTCCCCCTTAGTTTTCCATACTGGGCTCTAAGATAAAGTGATGTAAACTCTTATTGCTTCCTTTCAACTGGATTAAAATCTATACAGAAATGAAAAACAGCTTGGTAAGGTGCCAAAGAGAGAGGAGAAGTAAAATCTGATACAATTACTTTACGGTAATTGCAGCTATTTTTAAACAATCCCATATTACTTGTTTTTAAATGGTTGAATGGTAGCATACATGCATTCTTGGTCAGGGAAAACACGTCATCACAACTGACATGAAGAAGAAATTTGGAGGTGGAGAGAGAAGAGATGGTTGCCAGACATGTCTTTAATTAAAGTTGTGAGGTCTGGTTCTTCTAGAAACTGGAGATTATTGCTGTAGAAGTTGCTATGAAAACTGCACAAGGAACTCTCCATAAATTATACCATTATTTTTTTTCAAGCAATGGCATTTCTCACTTTTTACCTTTTATCAGAAATTTCTAGCTCACTGTTAAGTTAATCTGATATTTGAGGATGCGTATTTGGTACCAAAGTCCATCTTTACGAGTTTTTAGGAAATGTCTGTCCTGCTTTGAGCTGCTGTTCATAGGATGAGGGAGAAATCTCACCCGCATTTTAAACTGCTTGTTCATCCTCTTCCCTCTTTAAATGGAGGCAGTTTTAGTGATGAATGCACATGTGTTAGGTGCCTTTTTCACCACTTCCTAGTGGTTTTGGGCAGTCATCAGAAGGAGATCTGTCCCTTCTCCCCAGCCTCGCCTCCCTGCTGGCCTCCCACCTTGTGCTGTTAGACATGGCTGTTACGAAACAGCTACGCTTCTTTTTGATAAACAGGGAATGTCAAAAATGCGTGGCAGGGGCTAGAGAGCAGGGCTTCTTTTATGTGTAGATTATGTTTATGTCAGCTTAGCAACTGTTGGGCAAGCATGTGAGATGGCCAAGCCCACTCAAATACTTCTGGTCTCGGAAGGGATAGTCTTGACCTGTCCCTATGCTGTTCCCTTTCCTCTTCTCCATCCCCACATGCCTTTTGCATCAGTTCTGGTGCTTGTTTGATATTTGAACTTACTTTGTCTTACTGAGCTGCCAGAATTTTTCTGCGTGTGGCTGAGCTAATTTTCTACTACCTTCCCAAACTGAATCAGCCATCTGAGAGGTCAGATAAGCCCTGAATGCAGGAGAAGGAGGGGCAGGAATGGCGCCTTGGGCTGCTAGATAAACTGAGTCATGGTTTTCCTACACCCTTGTGATGAGCTGGGAAAGAGGAGGTCTTACTGACCTTGCACAGCTCAGCTGCAGCCCGGCCTGTGAGGTTTGCCTCATGAATAGCTTTCCCCCTTGTTCTCCTGGGGCCTCGTGATGTATTTTATGGAGGTATCTTATCCTTGGCATTGTTTCATTTCCTGTTTATTTCCTGCTAAACGTATCTCTTCATTTAACTCCATATGCTTGTGTAGAGTAGCATTAAGGCCTGGTATGAGAAATCCTGCTGTATTTGATACTAAAGCATCAGGTATTCTATGAAGTTGTGGTTTTTAGGGCATGCTAGGCCATGTGTGCTCTGCAGACAATGCATTCGCTCACATCTGGTTTTTATAAGATTTCAGCCTATCAGCTGCTCCTTTTTTAACACTTTTCTTTAGTCTTCTCCTTCTCATGTGGAAAGTACCAACTATTTTTATTTTATTTTATTCTGCTTCACTGTGTGTTACTCTGTTAGCCTGTTCCTGGCCATGCTGTCCTGGCTTTCTGGACTTTAGAGTCCTTAACAATCAGCCTGATAGGGAAAAATGCAAATATAGTGAGGTGGCCCTTTCATCCGTGGCGTTTGGATCAATGTTGAGGGTGTCTCGTTGGAATAATGTTTGAGCTGATAGGTGGTATTTGCTTGTGAAACATTAGTAAAGCCTAAGAGTGAGCTCACACAGAACAACTGATCTAAACTTGCTGTCACTGAAAGGGACCATTCTGACTCCGTGATTGCCCTAAAATGGGTGTTCATCTGCCTTCAAAAGCTGCTTCGGTTAGGCAAGCGAGCAGTAAACCAGATTACGTTCAGATCATGTGCACTGGCTCTCAGAGTGCCACAGCTGGTGACATTCATGTGGGATGGCTGCTTCCTGGAAAAACCAAGTGTCTGCATTTGGAGAAGCCCAATTGAAGCCTTGAGGAGCTCTGGTATCAAGGGAGCTCTGGTACCAAGCTCAGTCCTACTGAGTGTCTGGGTATGAGAGTTCGTCCGTGTTCTGTGAGAGGGGCCTTCGGTTTTCTGTTTGGCTTGTATTTAAGAAAAGTGTGCTCTGATGGAGTGTATGCAAATGGGAGAACAGTGCTAGAAATAAAACCCCAAAGGAGGAGCAGAATTACAACGGTCCAGTAGCTTCAGCCCCATCTAAAGAGAAGGCAGTGGGTGCTGCAAGTCTTGGGAGATGGAGGTGATAGATTCAGTTTGTCCCCTCTGCAGCCCAAATACTTGATACCTGGGAACATGTGTTATATGAACACCAAATATTATGCAAACAAAGATGGTTAGTAAAATATGGGAGCAAAATTTGCACCACCAAATGGGTGCAAATGCAGCGTGTGGTTAGCACTCTAAAGCTAAAGCATAGTTAAGTGGGGATACAGTTAGGAGTGACCTCAACACATCCAGATTTGGAATGAACCATAATGTCTCCCAAGTAGTTTGGTTTCTGATGCAACTCCTGATCCCAGTCGTCCAGGCTGTGTTATGACAAACTATTGCATCAATCTCTCACTTGGACAATGTTAACAAGTCTCTCTCTCTTTTTTTTTTTTTTTTTTCCTTTTTTTTGGCAGCTGCATGGTTGTATCCTTATATACCTTGGTAGGAACACTCTCCATGTGAGGGATGCTGTTTCTTGCATAGTTTTAATTGAACAAAACTTGATTCATTGCCCTTGAATTAAGTATTAGGATTTAGGACTGTGTGTATTAACAATCTTGCAGAAAGATGAAAATACTCCCTAAATCTCTGGGCTGATAATTTTTTTTTCCCTTGCTTTTACTTCCTTTATATTTTGGTTTTATCTTTCTTCTATCTCTCCTTGCTCTAAATCTATTTTATTTTATTTTATTTTTTTCCTCACTGAACAGAAAGGACTTCCCTTTAGAAGCCTTTCATATGCCAAATGTTTGTGAGAATAAGTTTTGATGCACTGTCTTTCTGGTGACTCAGGGATTGCACTATAATAATGTTTAATCATGTATTTTAAAGCAGGAGATTTAGGTCACAGGATTAGTTTATTAGGGAGCTTCAATCAAGAACATATTCATTAGAATCAAAACTGCATACAGACAGATGTTTGTGTTTGGATTGCTACTCCTGTTGCTTAAGAGCACTGCAGAAAGCTAAATTTTTTTTTTAAGCAATTCCTGTAGATTTAGGTCAAGAGTGAAATGTCAGTATGTAGCAATTGCAAAAACTCTTTTCCTCTCCTCTTTTCCCACTATGCTGGAGTAAGTGTTCACTGTCCAAATAAGAAATTCAGTTAATACTCCAGTCTAAACTTTCTCCTTTTTGTGAAGGAAGAATGCAAGGTTTTTGGGAGTGCTGTGTTAGGACATGCATCTCACAAACTATTTGCCTTTGCAGGAATTGATAGTCGATACAATGAAGGTTGCAGGGAACTGGCAAACTACCTGCTTTTTGGCTTGTATAACCAGAGTAACAATGACTTTGAGAGAACGGGGTTTCCTGAAGAAGTTCTGGATGGTGAGTAACATGATAGGCATTTTCACATATTTCTCAGCTTTCTGGAGGGAGAATGAATCAGCAAAAGGCGCATAATTGTCACTGAATTAAAAAGCAAAGCCAGTTAAACTCGTAATATATTATGAATATATAGCTGATATAGTGATTTAAAAAATAAGAGAAAAACTATTTTTTTTATTTCCCCTACCAAATTCTTCCCAATGTTCTAAATACTGAGAAATATTTAGAGAAAATAGAGAAATAGAGTCCTTTAGTAGCAACCCTAGTTCAGTCATATGTGTTTTATGTACACATATACACATACATACCTGTTATCAATTATAGTATGAACAAATGTATGGAGTTCTACAATACTGGAGTTAGTTTGCCAAAATTAAAACAAACAAAAACCTCATTTTTATATTTGAAAGGTGGACCGTTATCGAGTTCAAATATTATGCCCTTATTTGCATAGCACTTTGGCTATCCTATATTTACATTGGATGTGCTCTTAGGGTGGTTTTTAATGAGAACGAGCTCCTGGTGTCAGGCAAGGTCATATACAGTTAACCGTTTTTAGGGCTCTGCATGTGCTCATCGCTGACAGTCTTGGCTTTTCAAGGCAACGGCTGATGCAAGCTCTGAGTAAGACTTCAGAATAAATCCATGATTGTTCTCAACAGTAGAAATTACTGTTGTACTTGGAACGCTACATGGCTGCCAGCTTTCTATTAAAAATTAAGAGCAAGTGGGATATGTTAAAAGTGTTTTTTATTCTGTTCCTGTGTTTTCGTGGTTGTATATGTGTTTTCTGTTCTTGTTCTGTTCTGTTTCATTCTTGATACTGCAATAAAAATCTCTTCTGCTTGTTACAGATATAATCATATTAATAAAACCTGACAGTGTTCATCTGTACTGTAACCCTGTGAATTACAATCATCTTTTGCCATATGTGGCTTACTGGAGGAACTTGCATTTTCACTGTCTAACTGAAAATGAGGTATGTGGAAGATGAATGCACGTGAGAACTGCCTGTTTCTAATATCTTGCTAATGAACTGATGCTCAAAGTGCAACTGTTTTTTCTACACTTCCAAAAGTCTGTTCCCTCTCCCCGTATTGTCTTGGGAGTGATGTGCTTCTATTTGGTGGTATTAAGCATTTCGTTAATGTGTACACAAAAAAAATAAAATTTTAATTGTTTGAATTTGATGGAGTGTGAAGGCAAATGCTTTTCCTTCCACCAATTGTTATTGTTTTGACTTCAGTCAATGATATTTAATGAGAAAAAAACACATGAATTGAGAAAAGCAGAATCTGAATCAAGTACCACAGTAAACATTTGCAATGATAAGCTTTTTTGTTACCAAAGTAGTGTGTTAGCGTGTCATAAGCTTACAGTTTTAGAAGTTTAGAAAAGATGGACTTGCTAAACCATTTAAAAACAGTAAACCCTATCATGTATTTACTTTTAAAATTTCAACTCTTCCTTTCAAGAGCAGTTACCTACTACTCTGCAAGTACTTCTTGTGCTTGTCTTGTGTACACACAAGAACTTTGTTTTTTGTTTTTTGTTTTTTTTTTTAATAACCATTTGAGATCTTCTTTAATCTCCTTAAGGCCACTTTTTTTTTTTCCCCCCATTAAGTTCTGTGTAGCAATAACCATTTGAGATCTTCTTTAATCCCCTTAAGGCCACTTTTTTTCCCCCCCATTAAGTTCTGTGTAACTCCTTTCTCAAAATAGAGTGATGCTGAAGTCTGTCTGAAGGCTGTGGGTTGGAAGGGTATCTTATGAATGGGTGAAACTGGTAAAAGAGCAGGGAGGGGGGCCTTTTTCACCTTGAATCAGCTGTTACCGTCTTTGCAGCTTGATGGGAATTATGACAGATGGGTGATGTTTCTCTATGGCTGTTCCATAGTATGGAATGAGTATTATATCACCAAATTATAGAATAATTCAGGCTAGCAGGGACCTCTGGAGATAATTTTGTCCAACCTCCTAATTAAGGCAGGCTCATCTATGAGATCAGATCAGGTTACATGAGACTTTATCCACTTGGGTCTTAGAAGCCTCCAATGATGGTGACTCCCCAACTTCTTTGGGCAACTTCCTTTGCTTAGCTGACAGCATGGTGAAAAGTGTTTCCTTTTATCCAATCTGAGCCTCTCATTTTGAACCATGCTCATTGCCTTGCATTCTGCCACCATGCAGGACTGAAGAGCCTGGTTGTGCCCTCATGATGACTTTTGGAAGGTACTGGAGAGTGGCTATTATCTCTATGGCCTCCTCTTCTCTAGGCTGAACAAGACCAAATCCTTTGGCCTCTTTTCCTAGGACAAGGGCTCCAGCTCTGTTTTAATCTTAGCCACACTCTACTGAACTTGCACTGGTTTGTCAGTGTCTTTCTTATATAGTGGGACCCAAAATTGGGTGCAGTGTTTTAGATGTGGCCTCGGAAGCGTTAAGTAGAGGGAGATGCTGCCCAGGGTGCTGCTAGGACATGCTGCTGGCTCCATTCAGCTTGCTTCCAACAAGAGATTCGCCTAATCCTTCTCTACAGAGCTGCTCCCAAGCCAGTTTGTCCTCAGCCTGTGCTTTTTTCCATAATCTTCGTTTGCCAAAAGGATGTAAATCCTACAGCAGAATCTAAACACTGCCCTCATTAAGGCTTTGTCACTAAAAACATACTATAAAGAGTAGATGTTGCAGCGTACCCTGGAGGTGGTTAAACCCACACATTTTGGAATCAAGAATGGAGCAGTTTTTAAACTGCTCTTTGCAGCATATTGCAATAAGTAGCTTTAAGTCTGTTTAAGCTTTTGAATTTTAAATTGCATCTACTTACGGGCTTTTGTGTTGTCTGTGGAGGTTAGTATAACAATCACACAGTGCTAGCTTGAATTAGTGGTGCAACTAGAAAGGTAAACCAAATGTATTGCTATGTCTAGAAACTGCAGAGTGAAGTGAATAGAAAATCTTGAGATTTTGGATTCTGCAAATAAAATATTTACTACTGCTTAGTGTGTATGTCAGCTGAGTGATGCACTATGTGTCTCATTTCTAATGTATAGAAGTTGCCAGTTTCCTAGATTACTTATGACACAGAATCAATAAATCATCGCTGTATTAGCCTTCAGATACACCCTGCTTAAAAAGGAGGGTTGCTTGGAGTGGTTTTTAGCAGAGTTTTGTTTTTTTAGTGAAAGAACCAAGTTTTACTTGATTTTATACAAATGGGGGGAAAAAAAAACCCTCAGAGCTTTAGAAATGGACCAAGTAACGCTGTTTCTGTGGAGCTATTCATGAACCTTGAAAAATACTATTGCCTGTCCTTCCTTCCCTCCTTCCAGTTTGGTTTGGCTGAGGGTGTACTAAACAAAAGATTTTGTTGCATGCTCTGCAATATTTCTGGCCGTCATAGCTCTGCATCTCTTACAGAATGGGCTTCACTTATACATGTAAGAGCAGATATTTAGGGAACAAGTTTATACCATGTTACTGAAAAAGCTCTTATTCTGATGGTATTTTACCTCTTGAGGAACTGGCAATTGTTTGGGGTTGTCTTTGAACTGAAACTTTGATCTTGCTTGCCAGAACTGGAGAAAGAAAACGTCATGGTACCAGCTTGTGCTGCATCTTGAATTTGGGCTTCTCTTAAAGGAACTTGTTCCAACAGAAATTTGTTGAGTGTACCCTGAAGCTGAGATAATTTGCATACAGATAAAGTTCATAATCATGTAACTTATCTCAGTGTTACTCAGCTCAGAGCAATATTCATCTAAAAAAAAAAAAGTAAATAAAGCACTCCTGTCTTCTGACCTTGCTCCAGAAAGCGACTTCCTCAGTGACAGTTTTTTGATTTTTTTTTTTTTTTTCTCAAAACCTTTTTTCTCTAAAGATTGCCCAGAATCTAGCAGATGACATTTAAAGATTTGGCTGAAAAATGAAAGTCATGTACATTTAGGTAATGTACTAAATAAAAATAATGTGAATTTAGGATTTTATGTAACATTTCATGTGAACTTTGGTTTAAAAATCTGTCTCAGTTGGCTTGAATACATCCCTGCCATGACAGAATTCTCAAAATACAGAGGCTAAAGAGTTTCTCTGACTTCTGGGGAGCTATAGGGTAATAACTTAATGGCTTATAAAAAGTGGCATGTGCCATTGAGTTAAAATTATGCTATAAACATGCTCTTTATGAGAAAGCTAGCAGTTAAATCAAACAAATTAGATATGCTTAATTAAATTTTGTTTTAAAAGACTTCTTTTTCTTCCCCAGTACGAAGATGAAGAAGCTGCTGAGGAATTCAAGATTTCCAGCTTTGTAGACATGGTTCGAGCTTGTAGTCGCATTGGAATTCCGTACAGCTGCCAAGGTGGGTTAGCTTGTTTTAAGCTTAGTGATTCATGTAGTTCAGTGAATGAAGATTTTCTTGTCTTTGGTAAGAAATCATGATTAATATGCCATTGGTGGATGTGGTTTTTTTGTGTGTATGTTTTTTTTTTTCTTTTTTACATAAGACTTGTTTGTTTCTTTTGAAAAAATGTTAGCTTCGTCTGAAGAGTGAATGCTCATAAAATGAGACAAAGAAATAATTTGCATTCAGAGAAGTGTGCTCTACTACATACAGAAGTTCTCTGTTCGGATGGGATAAATACTTCTTTTACTTAATGAAAGAATAAACATTTTGTTATGCAAGTTTCCTTTTTTAGCACTGAAAAGACTGGACTGCATGACTTCCTGTTATGATCTGTCGCCAGCCTTGCAGTCTGAACAATGTAATCTTATATTGTTTAGTAAAGTGTACTTTGTGGTATCCAGGCAGTGAATAATGCAGAGGCAGCACACGCAGCCCTTTGCTGTCTGTCATGCTGGGTTTTGAGCCATACTGGGGGTGAAATACAAATTCAAAAACAAAAATGTCCTTTTTTTTTTTTTTTTTTGCTTAGCTTTTTTGACCTATGCGAGTTCAAGCCAAGCTAATTTAGTTAGTTTTCATTTCTCGCTATCTCTTCATGTATTCTCATTGCTTGAAAAGCAGAATCTGGAACTTTTTTTAATTGGTTCCTTAGAGAGAAGTGATATGTCCTAATTGCCTGAAAAATCATTAATTTGCAAGGAGAAGGAATGTTTTTTCCTAGACTGACAACTGGAAAAAAAAGGACAAAGTTTGGGGTGGAGAAAGAAAGAATTCTTCAATATTACTTTTACCAAATCTGTTATTCAATTAAAGATTTTAAATAGTACGAACAAGGAGGATAAGCAAGGTCCTTTATAAGAATCTCAGAGCAGCTGTAACTTCTCATAGGAAGTTAACAAACTGTAAGTGTTTGACGTATGTGGGATGTGTCTTTTGCAGGTCATCTACAGATATTTGATATGTTCATTGTTGAAAAGTGGCCAATAGTGCAGGCTTTTGCACTAGAAGGAATTGGGGGTGATGGCTTCTTTACGATGAAATATGAAGTAAGTAGTTATGTTTTCCTTTTTATTTTTTCTCTCCATTTCCTTTCTTAAGCAGAAATAGTCATGGAATAATTTAAATGAGATAGTACCTTTTGAGATCATCTAGTCCCAACCCACCACTTGAAGGAGGGGCAACTTCTGAGTTGTATCAGGTTGCTCAGGACCTTGTCAAGCTGCATTTTAAACATCCAAGGTTGGAGATAGATTCCACCCTCTGTCTGAGGGACTGGAATGAGCTATCCAACATTCTATCCTGGTTAGATGATTCTTCCCTCTGCCTTCCTTTAGGCCTTTTCTCCTTGTCTTCTAGACTTAGAATCTCCTCCGCCAGTAACAGTCAAACTCTAGGTCTTCTGGATGATGAGAGAACTTCAAGAGCCGTGTGATAGAAGCTGTTTAGTCACAGATGCTTTAAAATAAAATAACGAGTGATTATCTTGGGGGTCATTGGTTCTGGCACAATTAAAATTATCTTATTTTTTCTTGTGCATTATATTTTTTGGGTCATTGTGGCTTGCTAAATAGGATAATAGTCAAGATTCTCTTATGCTTCTGGTTCTAACAAGGATTTGCTGTTCCACGTTGGGCAGCTTGCATCATTTGATTTTCTTATTTATTAAGTATACTATAACAGAATCTTTGGAAGAAAGCTTCATATTTAAGTATTTGAAGCTTCATTTTCTGGGACCTCTGCCACTGAAATGCAGATGTCTTGTTCTTTTTGTCACGCCTCCGTTTTTACAGCTGGACTGTTCTTTTCTTTTTGCCAGAATTCAGACAAAAACAAGAAATTAATAATATTGCTATTGTTTAAAGAGTTTTATCACATCTAATGTGCTCTAAACATCTCTGTGAGCTACTGTTTTTGCCTCTTCCAGAGCTCTTTCTGCTGAAATCTTTCTCTGTGCTTTTATTTCTTCATTTCATAACTTGTGCTGTAGTAGTACTGTTGTGTGAACATGTCAAAATCATTCCATACAAAGCCTAAACAGGTAAGTATGTTTATGGAGTTCTGAGTTAGGTGTAGCAAGTTCTTCCTGATAGTCTGAAATTAGTTGATGACAATTTGTGCGAATTGAGTGGGAGTTGTTTGGGTTTCAAGTGTAACCCTAGCACAGTTTGATTTTACGAAAACTTCTAAAAATGTTGGATTTACTATGTGTGTGATACCTTAGTAAAGGCAGAAATGTGTCCTGTTTTATTGTGAATGGCAATACCTCCCTCATGGTGCTCTTAGAGATTTAAAAAGGAGCAATTTGAGTTTTCAAATGTGTTCTTAAGAGTGTGTATGTTAACTCGCACTTTTCAGCCAAGTTTCAGCTTGGGTTCTTGCTTTCTTCCTCCTTAAAATCATAAGGGGATTTCAAGTGGGAAGTGACATTCTTAACATTTTACATAACTGTTTATGCTAAGCAGCTGCTGTATATCATAGTTTGGGAGGAAAAATGTTCTTTTATATATTGTCATATATATATATGGCATTGCTGTAAAGGATCCAAAAAATGTTGTTGCAAATACTAAAAGGGGATAGTCTTAATACTTTTTTAGCTCCTCAGTCTTATCTTCCCTCTGCTCTGCATTTTCTGTTGCTAGTGTTCAAAAAATTCTGCTGATAAATTACAAATTTTATTTTGGTACTTCCTTTCTTCTAAAAAAATGTAGCAACTAAAGATCTGTTGTATGGAAGCCGCGAAGGGACAAGATACTGTAATCCAGAGAATTTACTGTATCCGTAGTTAGAGAGAAACCATGTCTTGGAAATCTTTATTGCCACGTCTTGTCATAGGAGTAATTGGAATAACTGTGAAGCTGTGACTTAAGGAAAATCCAGCTCCAGTCAGTGCTGCAGTTGGAATTAATTGCTTGGTGCAACCCTGTCAGTGCAGAGATTACTCAGATACAAGTGTCCCTTAAGAACACACTTCTGAATAGTCTTCATAGGCATCTTGGAAAAAAATAAAGCTGTTTGCTAAGTATTGCTTAAATTTACAATGTATTTGCTGTAAGAATTGACTGTAAGCATTATATGCAAGAATTACTGTAAGCATGTAGGAGTGTAAGCATCAGGAGTTCCCTTTTTTGGCTATCTTACCTCAGGAAACTTAATCTTTCCCTTTCCTGTACTAGCTAATGTCTTCATTGACTTTTATTAATTATTTCAATTTTGAGAACCTTTTTTTGGGGAAATGATTTGTTTGAAAGATTCTTTAAATTGTCACTGGAGCAGATGAGTCTTTCCAGTATCCCATAACATTTGCATCAGATTTGGTCAATTCTTTTGTAACTGCTACTGTAAAAATATTTCCAACTCAGGAGGCCTCTTGGGTTGGCTGCTAGTCTGTGTCAGTGCAGTGCCCATGTCTGTGGCATTCCTTTTGGCCTTTTTCACAGAAATATGTTTAAAATATTTTTCAGTTAATGGACGTCAGCATTGATCTGTGGAAAACATACAGTAAAATGGATCCTGTTTCCCTGGAGGACTTGGTCTTTGAGGTAACATGGGTGAAATCTGCTGATCCAGCTACCGGTTTGCATGGCCGCAGAGCCAAACTGTTGGTTTCTAAGAGTGTTTGCAGACTTAATTTACTTTCTCTGTACACTCTGCAGAAGAGCTTGCCTTGCATTCTGCCCATTCTTACAATTCCTTAAAATGCCTCAAATTCTCCTAAAAGATGGTGTGTGTATCCTTTAGGCCATAGGACTATATGCAAAGTGTAAAATGCTGGGACTGTTTGTGTGTTTCAGTCCCCTGTTGTGGTACAGGGAAAAAATAATCCACTTTAACATACAACCACGAGACCAGGGGAAAACCACTTTCATGAACGAGTGGGTAACAGTGACACACAGTGGCAGCACTGGTGCTTTGGGAAATAAAACATACACTGCTAAATATTCCCTTGTTGCAGTGAGGGGTCTGTTCTTGCTTCTGGAAACAAAAGCAGCACATGTGTATTAGCATCTCTTATTTGTCTATATATCTGTTATTTGTCAAAATTTAGTTTTGAGCACTTACGTAATTTCTGCCTGCTCTAATCCTTTCTATTTCTTCAGTTATTTGAAACCATAAGTTGTTTCACTCTGAGATGGTTTCAGGCAAATCTGTGCATGGGTGACTATCCCTTGACTAAGGGTGGCTCAGTATTCAGGAGTGATAGCTTTTTCTTCAGTTTTCTAGCTTAGCCGCCAAATAGGCTTCTAAACTGTAGCAAGGTCATCAGTAAGTATCCTTTATTAATAAAATACTGGTAGCTGTCCAGTCTGTTGGGTTTAAAACTCATGTCTAACACAAATGGTTTTAAAAACACCCCAACAGATTGGTCTGAAAGCTTTATAAGGCAGCCAGTCTAAATAGTCATTCTACAAGAGACTTTATCCCCTTCCTGTGGTAGTGTGGGAAATGATGTATTAAAGATTCAGTCTGGAGTACAAATAAATGTTTGGGATTTTTTTTTTTTTTTGCACCTGACAGATCTACTCTGTAGCTGATTTGTTTCTGCTATTTTATTTTTTTTGAGGATGAAGCTTCAATTTTTCTGAAAAAGGTTATCAATAATGGATGGGGTTTTCATATGACTTATTTCACAGAAATTGGTCACTTTAAAAATGATTCATTTTTCTCAGTACAGATATGACTGGGTGTCCTTAAAGAGCATTTGCAGCTCAGATATGTGTTCATATATTTTTTTATTTTCTTTTCTGGTTAGTGCAGCTTTACTGTCAGGAAATTCTGATTTCAACTCTACTTTGGATGTAAGAGAATTAATATCTTCTATACTATGGGCATATTCCAGATAAGCTGACAAAAGTCCTTTAACCTCTTACTTTCTTTGAAAAACATCTGAGGTTGCAAAGTTCTGCAATTATAGTGCAACCCTAAGTGTAAACGTTATTTTTAAACCACTAATATAGCCTCTGTTATTCCTTTAGAAGGCTTACAAGGCTTGAGCAGAATTCACTGCCTCAGTTTCATTCATTGCTATATTCATGAACTTTTTGAAACTAAATACTGCATAATATTCATGCAACTGCTAGAATTGTAATTCTGGTTTGCTTGTTATATAATTATGTGAATGTATATAATATTTTTATATATAATATACATACTGTGTACTGTGTTCCTAGAACCAGGATGTCACTCTGCACAAATTAATGTGACTAGCAGTGGAGTTAACCTTGCAAACATAAAATCTTGTAGTTTTGTAATGTTCCTGCTTTATCACCATTACTCGCTCCTTTGTTTTTACCCGATTCAGTTGAACATCATGAGCTTCTCAAACGCCCCAGCCTGCTCCTCATATTCCACCCATAAATTCATTTAATAAATCTACTTCAAAAGCATGTGCAGATTTAAAAATGAAAATTAAATCTATCTGTGTGCTCATTTTGAAAGTCTAGTGGGAAATACGAGGTCAGAGGGAATGATCTGAAAGCCGTGTGCTTTCGTAGATGAAACGCTGTTAGTGGATGGAAGGCTCTGTTCCTTTTACTGCCAGCTCTCCTGAAAAATAAAATTAAGAAAAAGAACAAAAAGACACCCAGAAAAACCTCCTCAGCCCCTTCCCTCAGAAGACCTTTACTTTTAGGGGATGTTTACTGCTGCTCACTTCCGTAAACTCTCGATGGTCAGGATGTGTTTTATACTACATAGTGAAGCTGCTAAACAAAGTGGTAAACTGTGGTCTAATGTATCTTGAGTTCATTCGGTAACACGGAAGGGATTTCCTCTCTGGCCTAGTGCATACTGTAATGAATGCTCTTTGAATGTTTTTATTCCAGGACTTAATGACTTTTGAACACCAATGGACCAACTTTTTTGCTAACTTTGATACTGAAGTTCCTTTCATTCTGGAGCTATCAGAATCTCAGGCGGGGGAGGTATGTTTACTTGAGAAAAGCTTTGAAATGCCAATGTCTTCCTAGCAGAAGTAGTAATAAATATTCAGCATAAGTAATAGTAGGATGTTAATCTCAATTATATTTATAATATAGTAAAATACTAATAATAGTAATAAGTGTTTAACATTTTGTCCCCCTCCCTATGCCATCTCTCCTTTCAGGTTTGAGGAATAGAATTCTATGTTTAAGGTTTTTTGTAAGTTGACAGCTCAGCCTACTGCATGGTGTGACAACACTGGACTGCCTGGTGTAACTCAAGGTTGAGTGTTTGTTCACTGATAATGAAACTCAGTTGTTCCATGTGTGCAGAACAGATCCCTATTTGTAGATGGATCTAATCGCATTTTGTTGGTAGCTTCTGCGCGTGCATTTCTTGACAAGCTAAAGTTGCACATGTCATGTTTCAAACATTATCAGTGATAACATATAGAATAGGGTAAAAATAGTACAGTGCATCTGCTTATAGTTTTTTGGGGGAGTAGCTGCTGTCTGTTTTCAAGCAGTGGTGTTGGAGTTTGTTTCTGGAGGTTGGGAATAGTTAGGAGGGCTGAGATTTTTTCAGGCTTGTTCTTAAGAACAGTGATATCTTGCACTGTCCTTTCATGTACTTGTTAATCAGAACGTGTTGTTTTTCTTTGCAGCCTTTCAGAAGTTATTTCAGTCATGGGATGATTTCAAGCCACATAACAGATAACAGGTATTACTCATCACTCTGCTGTGAGATTGTGATCTTACTTGTGTCTTGATATGTTATTTCCGTATCTCTGGTGTCATAAGAATGCTTAAGATTCCTTTTGGAACCATTTCAATATATCAGATCCCATCTTTGTGTATTTGAAATGCCACACAGGATCACTTTGATTCTGCAGTTTCATTACATACATAATATTGATATGCTTGAAAATGTTGAGTTAGTGCATTCTAGTATGATCTAATTCTTTGTGCTCAGAGGTCTAGCCCTGCTTGAAAACTTTTCTGTATGTTTTCATGTTACTCAAACAATTACAATATGAAATTTGAAGTCGGTATTTGTATGTCACAGTACTGACAATATCAATGCTTAAAAGAAGACCAGTTAAAAAGTAGATTTTAAGTTGTTGAATACAAATCAGCTTTACTTTTTTCAGCTCAGAATGGTAAGTGAGAGGGGCAGACTGGTTGCCATATGTTGCAAAAGGAAGCTTATAATGTTTGGAGCTAAATAAAGGTTGCTTAGCTACTTAAATGTCTCTGTAGTTTATTCTTTATTTGGAAATACAATGGAATTCTGTGTCCTTTATTGTTTTCAGCATCCTATTTTTCTTGCAGTTAATTAGAAGAAAAACCTTGACCTCAGCAGTTGAGTCTTGGGCACAAAGTGAGAATAAAAACCTATAGTTTTGCTTAAGTCCAGCTACTTATTTCAGGGTTTTCCTCGAAATTTTAAAATACTCAACTACTTCTCAAGTAATTTTCCTTTAAAAAATATGTGGGTTTTTTTGGCATGGAACTTGATCTATTCAGTGATGTTTTCTGTTGCTTCAATCTGTGAATGTGCATCTTGTTTGTTTGTTTTTGACCTCCTAGTAAAAAAAAATCCAGTAGGTTTTCCATGAGACTTGAAAACTTCAATTTCCTTTGTTATTTGTAAATTTTCTTGTAATATCGTGGTGGTGACCAATTCTTTTCTCCTAGCCCGAGCCGGCAGCCCTTTGTTCTGTTTGGGAGCCACTCAACTAAAGACAACTTGAACTCCGGGAATTTTAATTTTCCATCAGAAGGACATCTGGTTCGAAACACTGGCCTTGGTGGTAGCACTGCTAAGCACATGGTGAGATTTTAAAATATTTTCTGCGATTTCTGAGCAGTTTATTGGTATTTTCTTGAGGTTTTTTGGGGGGTGGTTGGGAGAGAAAGCACCTACTTTTCATGAGTTAAATACCCAATGCTTAACATACAAGGCAATGTTATATTAATTCCAAAAGTCAGTTTAAGGAGAACTTTTCCTTCTCTCTCTCTCTCTCGATCTCTCTCTCTCTCATAATCTCTACTGCCCTAAATGTGTGGGATGGCGGGGGGAGAAAGGTTTCTGATGATATTTAACCTAGTACTAGCATGAAAATCTTCCTGGTAGCATATGATATGTTAGCAATGGCAAAAAGAATGTAGTTGAACCTCAGTTTTCTTAAAAATAAAAGTCACTTTTTTTGACAATGACTTTGTACATGTACAAAGCATTTTGAATTGTGGGTGTACCTATATCTGTGTTTCAGCAAGCAAACAATTTCGTGAAACTCTGAAAATTCTTCTGGTGCTCAAAAGAATGTTAAGATAAACTTGTAAGATTAACTTGTCTCCATTTTCAAGTAAAAGTTTAGTTTTAAAACATATGATGAGGTCGATGGCTTGGTGCACTACTGCGCAGGGGACGTATCTGGGGAAGCGACCCCAGGGAATTGAGCTCCTCTGGCTGCCTGGGCTGGGGGCACCAAGCAGGTAACTCGCAGGGGAGGAGGAGAGGTCGTGTGCAGGTGCCCCGGTGCAACCCTCCCCGTGGTCCCAGAGCCCTGGGCTGCGGGAGCGGGCGGCAGGAGTGCGAGTCCAGGCTGTGGGTAGATGGATGTGGCCTGTTGAGTTCAGCGCGTCACGGAGTGAGCGGATGATTGAGGGAGTGATTTTGGTGGTCTGGTCGTGACATTTCATACACAGCTGCCTGAAGGATGGACGTGTTGCATGGGTCAGAGGCCCAAGAAAGGATCATGTTGGCATTCCAGTGAAACCTCATCCTCCATTTGATGCTCTAACACTGTTTCTATGCAGACTTTTCCACTTTTTTTTTTTTAAACCTCTTTTTAAAACATTCCAGTTAAGTCCATTTGGTACCTTCCATATTTCAAATGATTTTTTTTCCTGATACTATATCTGCCCAATCGGTTTTCCCCAGATTCTGATGTTGTTAAGAGTGTCTTGAATCAAGTGTGAACATAGTTGTAGAAACCTGACACTCATTCCTCTTCTTGAGAAGAGCAGTTGATGTAGGACACTGAAAACATATTCCTAACATGTATGCAATTCAGAGCTCATCTTCTTTCCAAAGCTTTTGAACCATTCAGGTCAAATCAAAAGTGAAATATACCTTTGAAAACGTAAGTCCCTTTTTAAAAATCCAGTTCGTCCTGTGTGGTGTGTATGTAGTACATCAATTTTTAGAAAACTTGGGGGAAATTTATTTTCTTGTTAATTATTGCATCTTTTTTTTACTAATTTTTTTTATATCTCATTAATACTGACAACTAGGTAGTGCAGTGTGTATCTCCAAAGGGACCTCTGGCCTGTTCAAGGACCTATTTCTTTGGAACCACTCACATTCCTTTTCTGGGTAAGTGTATTAAGAATATCAAGTATTGTAAAGCTGTTCTTAATTATTTAAGATTGTACTGATTAAAACGTGTTTCTGATCCGTGTATGGGTGTTATGGCATTCTTGCTCAGTGATAGATATTGCATCATAATAAATAATATTTTGAAGTACATAAAATCTTAGCAGAACTCTGTTCTGTGGCACATTCTACATATTGTGTGAAAATCTGTCAGATGCTATCAAAAAATGAATCAAAAGTATCTTTTTATTATTTATTTTTATTTTTTTTACGACTCTTCCAATGTTTTAGAAAAAAAGTACTATAAAGACAGGCAAACAGTGGAAAAGGTTGCCCAGGTGATGGAGGTGCTTCCATCTTTGGAGGTGCTCTGGAGTGCATTGGACAAGATCATGAGCAACCTGATCTGACTGAGCTTGCTTTGAGCAGGGCTTTGGACTAGACGACCTCCACAGATCCCTTCCAAGCTAAATTATTCCATGGTTTTATGATAATATTGATTTATTTTTCCTGTGAAGGTCTTAGAGCTAGCTTAATACTGTCATACTGAGTGTGCAGTTAAACCAGGTGGCCTTTGGATGTCACTCTAAATACAAAGTAGAGGAAGCTTCAAGAAGTGGATGTGTGCATGTATCAGAATGCAAAGTGAAGGTGAAGAGCACCTAGGGGTGCTGGGCTTTCACAAGTAACATATTTGCATTTGAGTTTGTGTTCATACGAGTTTGTGGAAGAACACCCCTGAAACCTACTAATTCAAAGTCATAATTGTTCAGAGGAGAGAAAAAAAAAGAACAAACAAAAATAGATATTTTTTAAAATAGTAAGGATTTTTAGAATGGGTAGAGAAATCTTATGCTTTTTATCCTTTATCTTTTTTCTCTTATTGAAAATAGAGTATGGTAATTGCACTCCTTCTTGATAAAGTAAACCATGTGAAAATTTTAAAAGCAATTTTTAAAGTCATTTTAAATAACTACATCAGTCTTTGGAAATCAGTTCCCTGAGGGTTACTGCGTATCTTGAAACTTCGTTTGAAATCCCCAGGCAAGCTGAAGTTAATATAAATAACATCTTTGGCAGGGAGCACAGAGATGTGCAGTAGAAACTTTATGCCTGAATAGCTCTGTTCAGAAGTGCCTAAAGCGAGTAGATTTCATTTTTGTTTGTTTATCTTTTTACAGGAAATGACAATGAGGTGCACAAGAAAGCTGAGCAAGTGTAAGTTGCCAACTTTTTCCTTAACCCTTCACTCTTTCAACTTCGTAGCAATGAGTTCAAAAGCCCTTTTAGAAAGAAGCAGCCAGCACATTTGCAGAGCAATATTTTTCTTTAGAATGGGTTGAATGTGAGAGGGTTTCGAAGGATGCTAAAGGATGCTAGGAATTGTTACTTACAGCACAATGCCTTCAGCTGACGTTTGAAAGGAAGTTAGTAAACTTTACTCAAAAATTATTGAAACTTTTTCTTTTTTTTAATCTCAACACTCACTTTAAGCATTTTTAAATGTTTCATGTCCCTAATCTGAGGTTGAATGGGAGCATGTTCCGTGAGTAGAAGTGAAAATAATTTTTATGCTAGGTTCATGAAGTTAAATGATGTATAAAAATCACCATTTTTGATGAAAATACCAGCAGGGAGCACTCAGCCTGGCGCAGAAAGCCTGCTGCTTTGAAGATGAGATAAAACCAGTTTCTGAAAGTCCTTGTTAGCAATCTGTGCAGCTTCTGCACATTTTAACCTTCACAAAATAACCATTTGGTTACTCATATCGATGTTCATTTTTATGCATGTCCTAGATACTTGTCCACATTTAAGAATAGGATAGGTAATCTGCTTTGATGCTCCTGTCAGCCTCAGTCAATGAGACTATTAGGAAAATTTATCAGGAATTTATTAAATTTATTATTTAGGAATTTATTAATTAGGAAATTAAGAGCTAATTAGGAAATTAGGAATTTATTACATTATTAAAGTTTATTAAGTCTATTAGGAGAATTTCAGGAGCCTGTGGTTGCTCTGCTGAGAAACTACCTGCAAAACCTGCATGGCAGGTTGGAGAAATGTTATGATAAGTCAGAGGAACTTGTAGCAGTGACTTTTTATGTTAAGTACTGTGGACTTTTGATGGCTGTGGTACTGTTCACCACAGCATATATGTGACTAGATGCACTAGTCACATGAATGTACTAGACTGAGCAGCAGAATTTTGCTTTTATATAACAAAGATCACGTGGACAGAGGTACAAAAACACATAGAGTATCTATTTGTCCTACTAAAAAAAAAAAAAACAAAACTTTGTACTAATACCTTTCTAACCAAGATGACTGGAAAAGCAAAGCAAGGATCTGTTGATAGAAATGAATTTTTAACAGAATATCTTTTTCCCAAAAGTATCCCTCTGTTGGAACAGGTCATCTGCATGGAATAGAAAAAAGATGGCAAATTGGGCTTTGGAATTTAAGAATTAGTATGCAGGGGGATTGTTTAACTGCTTTTTATAAAAAATATTTGCCAGTATTTCTCAATTAAAGTAAAAAGTGACAAGATACTTCATTAGTCCTAATTTTGTTGTTTAGGAAACAGAGCTAGAATGGATGACTTTGACGATCGGTTTAACTTTTTTTAACAAATACTGTTTTGAGTTGTTACAATCCTAAAGGAAGAAGAGTAAGAAAACTTTAAGGTTAACACAAAGCACATCACAATGCTCTAACTCTTGTAAATATAGATATAGAAGGCATTTTGAGTGAATATAGAAACTTTTTTGGAATTAGGGTGAATTACCCTTTTTTAGTGTGGGTACTGAAATTGTAAATGAAATTTGCTTGTCTGTAAAATCTTATAGATCAAAACCAAAACCCAAAGAACTGTAGGAAGGCTTAATGATTTTTAAAAGCTATTGCTGTTATCAGAGATGTAGTTAGAAGAAATGATCTGTTTGAATTGTTTGTGGTGGTGTCTGTCCAGAAAGACACTGGAGATCTCTCCAGGTTGGGCCATGTTTGGAGCCTCAGAAGCCTTTTTTTCCATCCTTCCAAGATGCTTTGCATATATCTTAAATGTTATATCCTTTCCTCTTCTTCCCTTCTTTCCTCCTTCCCTCCCTCAGAATCTGCCAGTTGCAAGTAAGTAGTAAGAGGAGTTAAATTTGAGGGAAGTAGGAATATTCTGTTAATCTTACTCTGCCAGTGTAGCTGGAAGGTAGAAGCTGGTTAGGTCTGAGGTGCCAACTTTGGAGCTGAAAATATGTAACTCACTTCTAGCTTTGCCTGATCTTTATTTATTTCAATACTTTCAGTTCTCTTTTAAAAAGAGAATTGGATTAGGTTATGATGTAGATGTGCTCAAAAAGTTGCAGCAACTCGTTTGTTTTGTTATTACTTTCTGCTTGACTTGCTGCACAACAGTTGGTTCAGTCTATTTTCCAGTCTTGCTTTTGAAGAGTATACGGCTACCACTCTTCTGTTTTGATATTTAGGGTATGATTTATCTTGATTGTGTTGAGAACAGGGTCACACTATGCCATGATTTTTTTAAAGTATTGTTTAATATGAGCAGTTGACTTGCTCTGATTATTATATTTTTTGAATTTAATCTGGGATGATAGAGGTGCAAAGCAATTAATATGCTTTTTTTTTGAACAAGGACCCCTTCCACATAGGGGAGTTCTGTGCTTTGAGAGATAAAACTGCTCTTTTTAAAAGAGGAGGAAGCCAAACTCTGTCTGTCTAGTAAATGTTGTGTTTGTATTTCTCTTCAGTATGCTGTTGTCGCAAATATATACTGCTGTTGTAGAGGCTGTGCTTGCTGGCATTGAGTGCTATGCTAAAACTTCCACTGAATCCAAGGTAAATGAAGTGCTGATTCTCTACACTCTTAATTGTTGATTTGGACTGCTTGCAAAACAAGATTACAGGCAAAACAAAAAGTAAAACGTTTGGGATAACTGTGTAAGGTTAATGAAATAAATACCATGGCCTCCAACCAATCTCTCTGAATTCTGCTAAATGAGTGAAATTTCAGAGTATATCTAATCTTATCTCCTTACAGTTGTTTCTCACCTCCTCAATTTTCCAAACCTTGTTGTAAGGAAAATTAGAGAGGAGCCAAAGAACAAACTTCAGCTGGTGCAGTGTGTTACTGTTTGGTGTATGGTCTCTGCTTATCTGATGGGTGCTCTGTTAGCTACTGGGAATCCTAAGGATGGGAGAAGATGCTCTATTCTCAATTTTCATTTTTCAGGCCAAGGAGGTAGCAGAGCAGATGCTTATGTCTGTGTTAGATACCCTTCATTTAACACAACTCAAAACTGCATTACGGTATGTACTTTCAGATACCTATTAGTCGATTTATTGCATCAATATACTAGCTTCTTTTGGGAAGAAAATACACGAAATCTTAATTTTTAAATGTAAGTTCTTTGACAGTTGAATTCCAATACCTTTCATATTGCATTAAAGCATTGTAAAGTCAGGGTACCTACTTCATTTTTCTTTACCCGGTTTTAAACACTTAAGCTGTTGCCTTATGGTAAACCTATTACTGCCTATACTGCCACGTAACGAGGTATAAAACACTTTTTTCACTTACATGATTTCTGTTCCACAGCTCCAAAATCTCCTTTCAAATTCAGGCTGTGAACAATCATGGAAGGTTTGTGTCACTATCTTTCCATATTTTTCCCATCTCTGATGTATAAAAAGTGCTAATTAATTAATAAGGGTTTATATTTTGCTGTCTCAGAGTTTCTGGAAAAACATTGCGTTTGATTGCTTTGTATAAGAGCAAGCACTGCATGCTTTTGTATATGAGCCAGTTTTATGGCTTCATATCTTTCTGATTCTGTAGAATCTTAGTAGTGTTTAAACGTAATAGTAACACATCTGTGCAGAGCATTTTTATTATCTCTGGTAATGAGTAGAAGCAGCATGAGTCCATTAAGAGCTTCCATTTAAAAAGATGTGTTTTTAACTTAGTTGACATCAGACTTGTGCTTTTTAATCTACGTGCTGTCTAATCGACTGAAATGGCCTACACAGATAAAAGCTATTTTAAAATGAAATAGATTTTTTTGATTGTTATGAAATCACTCCAAATTATCCAGTCTTTAAATATTTAATTATCATTATTTTTCTAGAATTACTCCATTAGATAATGAGGATAGCCTGAATTTGGTTAAAACGGTGAGTTATACATTTTATATGAAACCAGAGCTTGCATACCTTCTTTGATGGGATACATATATGAACACAAGCATGAGGGGATGGATGAGATGGAGTTCTGGGAGAAGAAAATGAAACTGAGAAAAGTCTGAGCTTTACAAATGAAGTTGGATAGCAGAATTTGGAAGAAAACCATAACATAAAATTACTGTCTCAGACTTTGTATTAAAACAACACAGAAGCACTGGCTTTTAGGAAGTTTGAAACTTGTTATCTTAACTTCAACTTCTGCTTTCTCTTTCTTTCCTACATTATGGCTGTAGGCATCAATGACAGTGTTCGACATTCCAGACGTGCTCACGGGAAGAGGATGCTTGGGATCCGTAGTCTTTTCAGAATCCTTTCTAACCTCAAAGATACACGTAAAAGAACAAGGTAACTCTTGAATACTAACACCAAATTTGTATATCTGTTTGAAAGCACTTTTGCTATTCATATCTATTTTATTATTATCACCATTATGTTTTTAAACTTTTTGGTTATGGGAGAGACCTAATTATTTTAGTTTGCTAGTAATCAAGATCTTAAATGTTAGAGAATTTCTCTAATCTCACTTAAAGGACTTGGAATTTTGACTACATGCTGATTCATAAAAGATTGAAGAGCAAAAAAAAAAAAGACACAAACCAAGACCAGAATAAAAAAATGGGTTTCTTTTAAATTTTTTTTATTAATTGTGGGTATGTTGTTGTAAGAGGAGACTGGGAGCTCCTTTTTCAGGGGAGCTTCACTTATACATAATAAATCCTTGAAATGATCAGGAAATTTTCATATTTCGTAGAACAACAAAACAAATTAAACAAACTAGCTTGATAAAGAGTCTAGAATATATAGATCATGTTGTAATTCTTTCTTTTTCATTTATTTCCCTGCAGATGGCAGTATTAATTCAGAAACCAGCCACATAATCCTGACTGCAGTTATTCCAAGATACGCATCTTGGCTGGTTAGTACGCAAACTTATTTGAAGCATTTTTCTTTATATGCAAATCAACAAAAGAAAACTTCTTATCAATATATAACCATTGGTGTATTTATATAGCTATATGTGTAAATATATAGATGTGTGAGAATAATAAAAGACTTGGGCAATGAAATAGAATTTTGAAATAGTATGATTTTTGATTGTGGACAGTAAGCATGTAACTTACAAGTGGAAACAGGCTGATGGTTTCGTTCATGAAACAAGCTTTAAATTATTCCATTTTCATCACTTCAGTTTTTGCAATGCTGCAGGCACGATTTTTCAAGTACACCGTATCATATTTGAAAGTTCTGCTTATTGTGGATTTGCTTTCAGATCATTAATCTACTACACTGCATTGAAGGTGTAGTTGCAATAAATGCTATTAAGTTGTGCCACTTTTTATTAGTTGGTAGCGCATAAATGTTTTACCAGCCAAAATACTTTAATAATAATAATAACAAAAAAGACAGACACTTCTTTATGTCTTTGCAGTACCATTTTAGCCTATAAAAACTATTTATTAGGGAGTAACTCCTTGAATATATGTTAAAGAATATGTATGTTAAAGAACTGTCTCAGTTCCATAGTTTCACAGTATTGAGAAGTACTTTGAAACAGAGGGTTATCTCCAGAACTTTAACCATTAGTGGTACCTAAAATTGTCCATTGCCTCATATCTTCATTAATGCTTTTTAAAGTAGTTTAACTTTAGTCTGGCTTTATATAGTAATTATCTAATGGAGACTCTTCCTCGCTACAGGTAGAAGATAGTGATGTGAAACTGTCTGAAAAGACACAACATATACTGAAGGTAATATAAAAAAAATCAGTTATAGAGGTTATATTTTTAAGAACCAGTATTCCAGAAATGTTAATTGTTAGTAAGATTGACTTGTGTCTTTTTTACTTTTTCTCTGACTTGTTACAAAAATTTGCCTATTCTGTTCTGTGTGTTTTCAAACTGTGACCTACCAAAAAAACATTGGTTATAAAAAATTTGGAATTTTCTCTATTTCCATGAATGACAAAGCTCATCAGCAAAAGGAGTTAGAATAAAGCTAAGATTCTATAGAAGTCTCACTGAATGCTACCCATGGAGCTCATGTGTTTTTGTTTTGTTTTGTTTTGTTTAAAAAAGAGCAATGCCACTCTACATTCAACTTTCTTTTAACTTAATTAGCATGCTGAATGTCTGAAGGAAAACACTTAAAGCACTATGAAAAATAAAAGAATCTTGGATCTGGGAACATCTTAACCCACATGAGTTTCACATTTGTGGTTTAATTTGTGGTTACCAGAAATCTTCATTACAAATAGATTTATTTTCCTGTAATATACTTTTAGTTCAGTAGATTGACATTCTGAAAACAAAAAGCTATGCCTTGTGGTTGTGACAATAACTTGTAACTTAATAGCTGCTGGCAAGACCAAACTGGGGGATTTGCTTTAAAAAATTACACTTTTCACATGCCGTGTCTTTCACTAGTTCTTCTCTATCAATGTTGTTTAAAACTCTTTAAAAGTTCTTACAAATGCTGTTTAATTTGCTAATTTTTTTCTTTTTAAAGCATTAAAATATTCTGGCCTGGATTGCATGATGCACACCGTGATATTATTGTTTGTTTTCCTGTTTAGGAAGATAAATCTTTTCTGGGCACTTTACTTGCCGAAGGCGATGGAGCGCACATTTATTCTAGCAACCCCCAGGCCATGCCTGCAGAAGGTGAGCTGTCTTCCTCGGGTGCTTAAAGAATAATTCCACTCCTTTTAAACATGGTTTCTGGTGTTCACGAGTCTGGTGAGACCACCTCTACTGCCTTTACAAGCTGTTTTCTTTCCATTTGCCGTTGTAATTCCGTCTTGCTAAATGCCATTTTTTTCTTCTTTGATCCCAACCTCTGCTTGAAATTCCCTACCCGCTTTTCATTTATTTATTTATTTATTTATCTCCCTCCCTTCCTCCCTCCGTCTAAGAGAGGAGTTCCTATCAGTGTCATAGGCGTAATTTTGAGACACAATATGGTACAGTGCCTGTGATGTAGGAGGACACTGAAGAGATTTGATTCTAAATTTGTTTACAGCCTTGTGTTCTCTGCTTCCGCTGAGGTCTTCTTCCTGGAGCTGACACTTCCAGGTTTATTCCACTGTAATTTTCACTTGGAAACCTCGGTGTTTATTACCATATATGCTCATGATATCAAAGAAAAATGCTTGTTCTTGGTCCTTTTCAAATTGAATGAAGTTAGCACTTTTTGACATGAGATTACTGATAGTGGTCTCAGACAATTGCTCCTATTTTAGTGCCTTTTCTTGCAGAAATTAAGTGATGTGGATGCCCCCAATCATATGACTAAGAAAATTCAAGATGAACTTCGGGGTGCTGTGGCAGAGTGAATTCTCTCGTTTCACAGCTTTGCATTGCCTCATCTTTCTTGCTTTCGAGAAAACTAATGGAAAAATAAACAGGAGTTTCTGAATCAAAACATTCACCTTAAGGCCCAATATTTTCATTCCTCCTGTCCAGTGAAGATACCATTGTCACAGTAGAATGTAACATCTAAGTATCAATTGACGGTTTTGAGGAGAAAATCTCTAGCTTTGTTATTCTTGTAATTATACAGAAGTAGTACTAAGGATAAGTGATGATACACAGGGCAGTTCAATAGCCCTGTATCTTCACATAACAGAATTTACTTTGGGCTGTAACTTAAAGATTTTAAAGTAGGAAGGACACTGCAGAATAATGCTTTGAGCTATGTTGCAATATAGTGGGTACAGATTCATTCAGTAAATAATTAGGGAAAAGAATAATTATATTTTTTAACTTAATAAAAACTGTCTTTTTTTTTTCCCTACAGACTAATATACTTTTCCCTTTTAGGCTGAGATTAAACTTTCATGCCACTTGGGATGGAGAGTTAAAAGTAGGTGGCCTAAGGACTATTATGTAACACTTCAACAAAGAGATATTTTCTTAGGGGTCACGCGAAAATGAACTTGATCTCATTCCCTTTCACGTGTGCTGGAAGCTACTTTGCTGTCTTGCAAACTTGCCACCTTGCAGGATGTGCTCTGCTGAGCTTGCAGCTGTGTAGCCTGGCAGGGTTAAAGGGAGAGGTGCTGCCACACACTCATTCATCTCCTTTCTTTGTCATTTATTTCATACTGTAACTGGGTGGTTAAATTCATGTCTAAAGTAGAGCAGAAAGAAAATCAGACTAGTAAATGTTTTCCTTATTATGCTAATGCATGTGCTGTATTCCAGCATTTCGTAGGATGCACGTAAGTGAATCAGGTACTCTTACCAATTACATGTTCCCCTCCAACATTAATAACTTGTGAGTAACTGCAAAAGTGGTATATACAATTAGCCCATTATATCAAAAACAGCCTTGATGTGAAGGAGATCATTTTGCATTTTTATTACTCTTTGCTGCTTCTATTTTTGTTTCAAAAGAATCAGCCTCTGTTTCTTGTTTTTCTTCCCTCTTCCCACCCCCACATTTTCTCTGTGAAGTGTAAAACTCTTTGTGAGTTTTGGCAGAAGTGAGCTCCAGATTTTGTATGTTGTCATTTTTCTTCTTCAGCTGCCCAATAGAAGGCATGTTCCATGTTGTGGATTTTGCATGCACTGGAGGCATAGGCAGTAACCTTTTTTCATATACAGGTTAGCCCAGCCCCCACATCCATGTCATCCATCCGTCCATTTACCTTTTAAATTAATGGAACAGTGTAGTGGATTTGTTAACAACTAGGTTTTGTCTCCATTTCATTTGTTGTAAACTGAGATCTTCAATTTGTGGTTTTAATCTTTGCCTGTTTAATAGCAGTCATTTTTTGACGCCACTTTACTGTTAACTGGAAGTTTCAGTCTAGAACAGTTGCATATACATCCCTACCAGGGACAATATGTTGTTTATGTAACTTAAAATCACCTTCCTCGGTATAGTGGTTAGGTATAAAGGAGAGCTTTTGATTTGTATCTCTTGTTCTGAAGTTCTCTTGTTTATTAAAACAAAGCCCTAATACTGAAAGATGTTGGAGATCTTATTTTAACTTGCCATTTCACAATGAAAATTCTTTGTTCTCTTATTATTTCTTCAGAACACTGTTTGATAGATTGAGCTGAGCGTGCAGATATGTTTAGCTCCATTTTAGCTGTTGTTCTGCTCTACTTTGCTGTTTTTAAAGCCTTATTCTGAGTCATGCTGTTTTGTTTAAAAAGAAAATAATTAGCTTTCTCTTAGGCTGTCTCTAGATGCTTCCCTTTATGGTGTGTGATCCTGCTGTTAATGCATGGTCTAGTACTGGCAGTAGAGGTCCAGGTAGCAACTCCCGCTTGCTCTTTCATTCCTGGATTTCTTAGGGTTGGCAAAAATTAGTGGTTTAGCCAATGTTACTTTATGGAGCTTTAAAGGTAAAATTTTCTTATTAATTCTTTCTTATCATCTAGTCTTGTTCTTCCATTTTCCAGCTTGTTCAGGTTATTCAGGTTTGCTAAGAGCCTAAATGTCCATAAGATGGCAAGAAAGAAGGAGCTGGAATTAATGTTTGTGTCTCTTAGCTCTCGCTAGACTAATAGCTTCCAGGGAAATTGCTAGCCCGGTAAAAGTCTCTCTATGCAAAAAAATAAAACTCAAGCCTGCAGATCAAGTTTTAAGCATTCTTTTGGTGAGACAGTTAAGGAAAATCAGGGTAGAAAATTTTCCTTTACTCTGTCACCAGGTGAAAGTTTAAGTCTCTGCCTTTTTTTCTACTTGGCTGCATGGTATGTGTCAATATATTGACATTTTGGTGAAAAAATGACCTTTGTAAATAATAGTGTTACCATGCTTAAATTTCCTGTTGTTGTAGATGCAAATTCTGCTTATTCATCCAAGTTTTACAAGTTTGCACTTAGTCATGATGAAAATTTTCATGTGACTATTTTTAAAATGTCAAAAATAATTTGTGATAACTGGGCTACATGGGATAACAGTAAGTAGAATGCAACTATATTCATGACTTTATCCCTTGACAGTGATATCCAGTAGAGATCTGATGGTTGTGTCCTGGATGCTGTGCAGATATTAACCCAATTCTTTACTCAAATGCTGTATGCATTTTGAATATGGCAGCTTTTCAAGAATATAGATTTATTCCTCAGAAGGAAGAGGCATTAGTCTTATGGTGCAAAGATACTGATGATCTACACCTCATAACATCAATCTTTTTCTTTTAAATTCTAGGAAAATTGTACTTCTTTTCAGATGGCATTCTCTTTTCTCATCCTCACCACGGCAGCATTTCCATTTCAAAGAACCATATGAATTCCATTTCTCTCTACGATGGGGTGAGTGTTTTGATTATCTGTTCTTACTGTCATAGAATGTTTTTCAATAAAAAAAAAGAAGACTTTCGTAAGATACTCACATAGGTGCTTGTTTTCAAGTAAAGTTTTAGTTCAAGTGTTTAAAACTAATGGTATAGATGCAAATCTCTGCATTTTTACCCAGAGAGGTAGTTGAGTCCCCTTCCTTGGAAATATTCAAAAGCCACCTGGATGCAATCTTGGCAACTTGCTCTAGGTGACTTTGCTTGAGCGGAGGAGATGGTCTAGATGGTATCCAGAGGTCCATTTCAACCTCAGCCCTTCTGTGATTCTGTGACATTTTGTACTGGTTTTAGTTTAGCTATACTGTATATAGGAGATGACTGAATTGTTAATTACTTCTTAATAGCGTGGAAAATTACTGTTTATTAACAGAAAAGTTGCAGAAAGCAGCATTCATAAAACACCTAGCCGTCTTAAGCAAAGGATGGCAAAAAGTCCAAGGTTTTGTGTAGTCTTAGAGTGTATTGCTGGGTGAAATGCTGCCTTCTGTTCAAAATATGCTTAACCTTCAGCCAAATGTTGGTGACAATGACCTGCTTATCTCTGGAGGGGTCACGAGGAGTGTCTGTCTGCTGTCCTGGAGTGTTGTGTAACTTACTGCCAGGGTGAAGGGAATGACTGCTCCGAGTTTTCCAAGTTGAGAGAAGTGAGAAGGAAAGGCATGCTGCATGTCATCACACATATTCTGCGTAATTACAGTAGAAGACAATGCTAGGCGTAGAGTTTTGTCACTCCGATGATCAAGTTATATCAGTTCACTTAACACTTAACTTGGCAAACTTGCCAGGCTCATTGTTTTCTTTAACTGGCAAGGTTCTTTGTGGGAATAGAGAATTGAGTTAATGACAGCAGCTCTTTTTTCCTCTCTTTAAGGCAGACACACTAGGTTAACTATCTTTTTAGAATTGAAAGGAGAGATTATTTGGGGTGGTTATCATTTCCTAAGCACTGAAAAGGCATCTTTGTTTCCTTTAGTTGCTGTTTTCTTCAGGTGCACTATTGCATATTTGTTTAGTGACCTCCAGAGAGCATTGTGTGCCTGTGATTTCATCATGAAATGGAAGAAACCACTTAAAATACAATAAAAGTGTGTGATTCAATTGGGATGAAAACACAACACTGAAGAGAATCTTACCTTAGCTGCCTTTTCTTGTATATCGTATTGATTGCCCCTTCATAGCTTAAGAAGTTATTTTAACACTGACCTTCCTGCTATTGTTTGGTTTGAGACGCTCACTTTCATAAAACCTAAGCTATTTATGGGACTTGGCTCTCATTCTTGAACTGATGCCAGATTTTTGTGTAAAGCTAAACCTTGACATAGAGAATTATATTGTCTAGCTGACTTGGCATAATGCAAGGGTGGAGATCTTAAAATATTAAGACGTGACAAGAGGAGAAAGGTAATTTGATGTGCCCTTTTGAAAGCTAATACAACAACAATGCAGATGCAGAGGAAAGGATAATTTAATGGTAGATTTAAAATACAAGATAGAAGACTTTGGGTGATACAAAATGCAGTTGCTCAGTCGCTGTCTCAGCGTGTGCCTGCTAGATGCTTTTCTTTTTGATCTGAAAATACACCTGCAGTCGTGTCTCCAACACATCCCAAAAGGCTCCTCATTCTGAGGAATTGGGCACGAAGCTCCCACCTGAACTGTTGAAGTACTAGAGGCCTGTAGACATCTGGAGCATGGCAGCTGGCATCAGATCTTTCCCAAGACGGTTCCATGAAGAGCTAAAGAATTTACAAATTCTCCAAATGGTACAAATTTTAGCAGAACTCTTCATCTCCACTCCCCCTTGATGTAAGGCAGGACCATTCTAGCTTTGTACCAGCTCTTCTGTGGAAGAGAAGAAAACACAGAGGACTGATTTGACATCTGATCCCAAACTCAATTTTCTTTTCTTTTTTTTTTTCTTTTTTTCTTCTGTAGCTATTCAATATGTCAGTATATTGTATCAAGGCATCTTGACCGTACAGAGGCTAGATGCTGTGTGCTGGGTTTTAGAATCTTACTTAAAGATTGGGTCTTGAAGCTTGTAAGCACCTGAATCTGATATTCGTTTTGGCCCTGAATCACCAAGTGAGGAAATATCATGAAGTAATACTTACATTTCCCAATAGTGGTAATGTCTTGTAAAATTCTGGCATAGGCTCTTTTAACACAATGTATGTAGGGATTATTGCTGCATTGTTTCCATCTTTTTTCGATTTAGGGATCACTAAACATTTCCTAGAAGGAGGTGCCCATTCTGTTAGGCACTTTTTATTTAACTGCAGCCAGTATGAGTTTGCCTTTCAGAGTTTTCATGTTACCTGCAAGTTATCCTGCAGAATCAAAGTCTAAAAGCTGTTTTCACTTAAGGTAGTAACTGTCTCTGGCATTTGTGAGTGTTTATCAGTAACCTCAATGATTATAAAGGTTTGTTTTTATAACTAATCCTTGAGTCAGCAAAGTGGGTAGAGATTCTGTTTACAGATGTCTCTGAATTGACACTGATTCCTATTCAAGTCTTCCCCAACTTGAGTTTACTTCTCTAAAAATTACTAAATAGAGTTCTTAGTCCACTTAATCTGTTGAAAGAGAGATGAGCATTGCCAGGTTTCTGATTTGTACACTTGAGCACTGGAGGCCCTGTTCTCCAGACATGTGCTTTCACATCACTGAATTATACTGAATGCCTGGTGCTTTAGTAGGAAAAAGCTAAAAGTCAAAAATGGAGAGCAGATCTCTTCAGCCTCCTGTGAAGTTTTGCAGGGGCTGCTCTCCTGAAATTTGGAAAACCAAGGGTTAGTGTTGATCTATTAAACCAAAAAAGAGGCTAAAACTGGTGAACCCTCTTGCTTTTAATGGATGCCAGTCTTGAGGACTCCAGTTTCCTGTTGGCAAAGGAATACAGTTCAGTGGTAGGAGCAAAAGATTTAATGAAACTTGTGAGCACTGAAGAATCTGAGAGAAATGTGGCACTGCCAATGTGCAAGTGCTCTGTACTTTAAATTGCAGGCCTGTCTGTTGCACATCATTGTAGCATGGTTACTTTCATGTCAGGACCTGAAAAGAATTGTATAAAAAGAGACTGTAGTTTTGCCATACATACTATCTTTCAAATCTTTTTGGGTGACAGACTTAATTCACTCTTCTGTGGTACATCTGTCAGGGAGAATTATAGTGTAGATTAACAAGGTAGTTCTGGTGTGAAACTTGAGGAGGTAGATGCAGAATAAAGGGCTATAGTGGTCGTTTTTGTAGGAGAGGAAAGTGAATTGATATTAAAATCCATGTTGTTTTCACGAAGAGACAAAGTTCAGAATATTAATGTGCTTTCTTTAAGGCTTGTGGTAATTCAGCAGCAGGGAGTAGAAACTTTAGTTGATCCCTCTATTGCTTACGTGCATGATAACAAGCTAATGAATCTTTAGATACTTACGTGTGCCCAAATAGCACTATAATAGTTCTTTTCTGATCTGTGCAATTTAATGTATTAAGTCTTTTCCCACTTTCGATAATTGTTAATTCTACATTATCCTCTCTTTTCCTTTCTAGGATTCAACCAGTATTGTTGCCACTCTCTTTATAGACTTCAAAAGTTCCTTGCTCGTGCATCTACCAATTGAATTCCATACCCAAGGAAACTTCTTGGTGATTGCACTTTTCCCCAAAACAAAGATTTACAAAGCCTTTTATTCACAGGTAAGGCAAATAAACATTGTTTCTTTTTTTGTTTGTTTTTTCACCCAAAACCATCTAGGATGTTTTTCAGAGGAGTGGCAATGGTGAATTCGTTAATATATCTGTGTTAACTGATTAAGTTTGAACAAAACATCGCATTTGGGTTTCTCATGCTGTTTGAACCATGAAGGCAATTCATCTGATACATGTTACCAGGCTAGAGTGCTGGGTCTTTCTAGCTCTGGTCTTCAGCAAAACCTGTTCTGATATCTGTCTGAACCAGTGCAGTTTGGAAAGGAACAGCCAACCCTGGGGAGCAACAGGTTAGGAAGCACACTGAAAATTCCCATTGTGGTGGGATGTTGCACATACCTGAACTTTGATGCACATGCTTTTGCATGGTTATCCTCATTTGGAAGCTGAGGAGATAAAGATTAGAGAAATGAACTGCTTAGGTGAGTTGGAATCGTTTCGTTGATGGTGAGCAAAGCACCAAGGGGTTGTTTTCTGGGTCCAGCATCGTTTAATGTCTTCATGTACAACCCTGGGATGGTCCATAACTGGAGGATTGGTTGACCCTGAGCTTCTAGAGAGACTTTAAGAAATTTGAGGATTGCATCAATAGAAACATCAAGGAGCTCAAGAAAACTGAACATCTGTACCTGAGGCAGAATAGCCTCAGTATCAGTGCCCTCTAGGATATCTAGGAACCTTCATTTTTGGAAATTTTGAAAACTTGGCTAGACAAAGCCACAGCTAATCCGGCATTCATTGCCAGTAATCCTGCTTTGAGCAGGAAGCTGGCCTAGAGGCTCCAGAATCTGTCTTCCAGGCAGGAACACTGATGGCATCTTCTACTCTGTAGAACTTAACAGTGAGTGAGTCTCCAAGAGACTGCCCTGACATGTACTCCTTTCCAGTGCATATTCTGTAACATGCTTTATGTAATGCCATAGGCTTTTAATCAGTAAACCTTTTCTTTAATGACAGAAGTGATTGCTTCTGATCTTAAGACCTTGCACGTGTGGGAAAGTATAACTTATGTAGATATTGCTAGTGATTCCCTTGCTTGTCGAGTTTAATGCTCCCCATGTGCTTTCATTTTGCCTTCTGAAGCCAGTGAGTGCTCAGAAAGCTTGTTTTTGAGCAGTTGCATTTTAAATGTAGCACTGGTATGTAATTGGCTACAGCAGCTGTATGTAGTGGCAGAGGTTCTATTGCGTGTTTTTTGTGGCTAGACACATTTGGATTGTCATCCTGAGGGAAGTTTTGTTCAAGTCTTTAAGTATCCCATATGCCATTGTATTATTTTCTCAAATAGATTGGTCTCATGCATCGTCCTATTTTAAGTCTACTTTTATACCTTTTTTTTTTTTTTTTTCTTCTGTTCTCCCTGTAAACATCCTTGAGACGTTCTCAGACTTCAGACCTAGGCTATGTCTGGCTGATTTAGCCTGAAAGAATATCCTTTTTTACTCTGTGCTTATAAAATGTTCTCTTCTGATCAGCATAATTGTTCTTTCTGTTCATTTGGCCTTGGATGTCCAAACTGTGTGCTGTGTTCTAGATGAGGGTAGATGTTTCTTGTGTGGAATGTGTGGAAGGTAGATGTTTCTCCTGTGGTATCCTCAATTTGCCTTTGCCTTTTCAACTAATAGAACATGGTCATTTTACAGGAAACTTCTTCAGGTCAGTCTCTTTGGCTCCCTGCTGATATTCCAGCTGGCAGCAGAAGGTGTATTTTGTGCTCACTCTTGCTTCTCATACTTCTTCCTGTTTCTATTACCGCTTCTGTTTCTTCCATTCTGCAGTTAGATCTTCTTTGCTCTCTAAATCATGTCAGTGCTGTGTAGACTGTTCCCCAACTTCTCCCTCCCCCCAAAAAAGTGCTGTGAATTGACTTCAGTTTGGGCCAGACTCGTTTTAAATGATTTCTCAGCGTCTTCCCCAAACATCTTGACCAGTGAATTTCCTCAGCCTGATACTTCTTTCTACCCTGTTTAGACCTGCCCTCCTTTGAGTTTGCTTTCTGTGTAGCAGTTCTTTACTGAGCTTCAGTTTTTGCAGTTGAACCATACCATATGGTTTGATCAAAGAAAACCATGTCCTTTGTCTAGAAAATATTATATTGTCATAGCTATTCAGAAAACAAAGTATTCCTCACAGCATAGGCTGTGGGAAACAGATATTATATGTATTTTATTATTATTTACCTTCAGCTCTCTGCTGTTTTCCTCCAAAAGCTGTTCTAAAACTTAGCATGGGATTGAAGTCACAAATACAGAACCTACAGCTATAAGAATTGCTAATACGTAGATACCATTCCTACTTTTCTCTGATCATCTGGCGTAATACCTAGCTTAAAAGGCTTGCTACTGGACTTGTTCCCTATGTTCCAAGCATTCCTGAAACAGCTATGGCAAATATCTATTCCTCCGGAGTTGAGTGCCATAAATTCCTGGTGGTTGAGATGTTGTTAGCAAGATCTTGTTCGATCCCAATCTTGTTCAATTCTCTTTATCCCTGGCCCTTGGACTTCTACAGAGTTTGTGCTTTGTGTTGTTGCTGTTGGCCAGTCCCTCTTTCCATGTTGTTCAGTCCTTGTATGTGCTCCGAAGTGCTTATTTGCTTAGCTGCATGGATCCTTCAACACAAGCAATATTGTCCTTGTTATTGCCAAAAGTTTATTTGGTTTTGATGCTTTTTATCTTGGTACCCTTGTGCTTACGATGCTGACTTGTTAAGGGAAAGCAATTGTCTCCCCCCCCCCCACCCCCCCAGACTGTTTTGTCTTGCAACAGATTATTGTGAAAAATGACAATGGTTGTTGCCTTATTAAAAGAAGGGAAACACTGAGCATTTAAATAACTGCATGTTTCATCTGAATCTGACTTCTAGGTTCATAGTGCCATTCATATTAATGTGACTTGGCTACAGGAATTGGATGTGAGCCAAAATGCTCTTCCCCAGAGACCCGAAGGGCTCCCTTCCTTTTGGAAGGAGCAGAGTTTTTCTTACATCTCTAGAAATATGATTGCTGCATTCTTACCTCTTGCAAATTACAGGACTGCTTGAAGGAGATGTATGTTAATAAAGTTCTTGACATATTGCAGTTCTATTAAAAATGATTTTTGATTTTTTCCATATTTTGAATGCTATTAGCAGAAAACAGTATTGTGTAATATTGTTTTAAAAGGCCAGTTAAAATGTGTATGTTTTTAGACAAAACGAACCTTAAGAATCTATGGGTTGTGCATAAATACCTCTTCAAAACTCAAATTAACATCACTTATGAGTTGGTTTGGTTTGTTCCAGGTTTTTTCCTCATGGCAGAACCAGCCCGGCTCAGGATTATGTTTAAAAGTTGTCCAGGAAGAATTCCTGTCTATGGAACAAAAGAGACTGTAAGTTCATGCCACTTAACGCGTGTATAGTTTACACTTGAGTTTATATGCTACAATCAGAAAAATGCTGCCACTTGGTGAAAACTTCAACAATGACTCAAAAAGGAATCTTTGCGTTTTCAAACTAATGTTTAGTTTTAGTTTTTATACTAATCGTTATTATGTAGCCATCTGATTTGAAGTTGATAAATGTCTCTGTATATTTTCTTTTCTTTAGAGAACTAGCTAAATACTTTGTTTGTTTCAGACATTCCAGTGTTCAGAAGCTATTTAATGCCTTGTCCTTTCCTTCTGGGGAAAGATGCAGCCAGCTAAAACTATCAGCTACCCTCCCAGACTTAGAAAGGTGAGTTTACGTTTTCTCAGGAATAGTTATTATACACATCAAAATATTCTGTACTTTTCTAAAAATTGCTTATTTAATAAATCTGTCTTCACACTAGATATTTTTGGACTAAGATGAATTATTTCCTCTCTGGGAAGCTGCTCTTTGTCCTTTACTAACCATCTTATTTTAGTAAAATTATTTGGCAGCTATTTGTATGAACAGAGCCTTTTGGTCTGGATTGTAATAAAATAAAACCTTATTTTTAAAAGGTTTCTGCAACATTTTACCGTCAGCAGCGTCAGTCATGAGCCAGTAATGAGAGCACATCTTCCTATTTTATTGCAACAGTCAGAAATCATTCCTGAAAAAGCAGAAAGTGATAAGGTAAGGCAGCAACCCAATAATACCTCCTCTCATAGGATATTTACCAAATATTTTCTAGTTCATAATGCAGTAAAGTACTGATAAAGGTTTAACCATGCTCTCTGCCTCCTTCCCCTTACCATCAGTTCACACTGAATGTGCTTCCAGTGTGTTTCTCAGAGGCAAATGATCTGCCCTCTTTTCATGTTTATATTACTTTTTTTTTTATTATTGTAAAAGGTCTTTTGGAAGTGCTAATGGCCCTTCAGCTCTGATAAAACAGAGGCAGAAAATGAAGTGTAGATCAACTGCTCAAGTGAGCAGTTTTCTTTAATGCCCAGAGTGGGTTAGCCCTAAAGCAGTAGTTTGTTTTTATGAATTGCTGAATAATTTAACTGAATTGTTCTCTGGAACATAAAAGACCTTTAAATAGCATAGAGGCAGCACATGATATTTAACATTTGCTGATATTATCTGTAGAACACTTCGTTCTCTATAGGGGCAGCAACAATTGTCAAACTTCAGGAGTGCTTTAAATAACATTTTCAGAGAAAATATGTCCTAGTATCTTTCCAACATTTTAAATCTGCTTTAAGGAAGAAAGAAAACGAAGCAGGAGCATATTCTATCTCTCTCTATGAATACTGCAATATTGGGATAACTTTATTGCCTGGAATTTAGTTCAGAGATTATACTGAAACTTAATTATTACTTATACTTAATTTAAGATGTATTAATAGTATCTTAAATCTGATTTTAAGGTTGTTCTAAATATCTGTGCATGTGTTTCAAAAAAAAAATCCTTCTATAATAATCATACAATTTCTATAAAGCATGCCAGCATAGAACCACTGATTTTTTGAGTTACTTTTCTAACACTGTTGTCACCAATGCTCAGTTGTGTGAACATCCAAAAGCTTTGGCAATGCGCTTTGACTGTTTTTCAGTGTTTCTTTGCCAGGCCCAAGAGGACTATAATCGCTCTCTAAATGCCACAAAATTGAGCACGAGGAGGAGAGGGTGCTCTATGCAGAGAAGCTGTTGGAGCTGTTGGTATTTTGGAGCTGTTACTGTACAGCCTCTTCCCAAACCTACCCAAAGCTTCATGCAGCTTTAATTAAAGCTGGAAAAAAAATTGTGTGTAGCACAGTCCGGTCAGTACCCAACCTTTGAGTTGCTCTTCATGTTTGGCATTAAGACTATTGGATATATTCAGCCACTTTCTATTTATTTTTTGAATCATTTTGCACAAATACTGATCTATGTACTTGGATGCAGCTTTCCATTTTATATAGGAAACCTAACTTATTTGCTATCTCTTGCAAGATTTTCTCTTGTATTTGCATTAGTGCTGACATTGCAGACTAGGTCTTCATGCAGTGGCTTCTATAACATCGTGTTTGTTAATTATATTTTCATTGTATTCAAGGTATGGAAAAAGTTTTGAAAAACAAGGTGATGAAACACATGGTTCTAAAGTGATGCCCATCTGAGTAATTGCGTAAACATCTGTAGTCACTGTATTCTTCTGTCATGCTGATTCTGCATATTGATGGCTCTTAATTTTGCATTTAGACTTAAGATTTTATGGGGATAACCTTATACGTGTGCAGTTGTCAGTAGCTCATTCTGGCATTTCCGATACCTGTTCCCTGTATTTTAGGTGGTCATCACAATTATTACAGGCCTTCCAGGATGCCGCTGCAGTGATCTGTGCACTTTTCTCATAACTTTTAACAAGGAGCGTGGAAGGTTGGTATAATTCTTTCTTACAATAAATTCCCTCACAACATCCTCTTGGGCAAGCTCCCAAAGTGTGGCGTAGGTGAGTGCACAGTGAGGTGGATTAGGAACTGGCTGGATGGCAGAGCTCAGAGGGTGGTGATCAGCAGTGCAGAGTCTAGTTGGAGGCCTGTAGCTAGCAGTGTCCCTCAGGGGTCAGTTCTCGGTCCAGTCCTGTCCAATTTATTCATCAATGACCTGGATGAAGGCACAGAGTGCTCCCTCAGCAAGTTTGCTGATGACACCAAAC